CGACGAGCAAAAGGCTCTCGGTGGTCCCATCCTGTTCTCCAACTGGCTATCCAAGAACTACGTTCCCGTGGACCGGGAGCAGCTGCGGGACTTTGTCAAAGCTCGTCTCAAGACTTTCTGCGAGGAAGAGGTGGATGTTCCGCTCATTCTCTTCAATGACGTCTTGGAGCATGTCCTTCGCATTGATCGAGTATTCAGACAGCCACAGGGTCACTTGATCCTCATTGGCGTCAGCGGCAGCGGCAAGACCACTTTGTCTCGATTCGTTGCCTGGATGAACGGCCTCAAGGTGTTCCAGATCAAGGTTCACGGCAAGTACTCCGCCGAAGACTTTGACGAAGACCTGCGTGAGGTCCTGCGCCGTTGTGGCTGCAAAGGTGAGAAGATTTGCTTCATCATGGATGAGTCCAACGTCCTGGACTCTGGTTTCCTCGAGAGGATGAACACATTGCTTGCCAATGCCGAGGTGCCCGGTTTGTTTGAGGGCGATGAGCTTGCCGCACTCATGACAGCCTGCAAGGAGGGAGCCCAGCGACAAGGACTGCTTCTCGACTCGCAAGAGGAGCTCTACAAGTGGTTCACCCAGCAGATTGTCAAGAACCTTCACGTCGTCTTCACCATGAACCCACCCGAGGACGGCTTGTCTTCCAAGGCAGCGACAAGTCCTGCCCTGTTCAACCGATGCGTACTGAACTGGTTTGGTGATTGGTCCGACCAGGCGCTGTTCCAGGTTGCCCATGAGCTTACCCACTCGGTGGATTTGGAGCGAGCCAACTTCCAGGCGCCGGACACCATCCCTGTTGCTTACCGCGGTCTCTCCCTTCCTCCTTCTCACCGGGAGACTGTGGTCAACTCCATGGTGTACATCCACTACTCACTGCACCGCTTCAACAGTAAGCTCCTCAAACAGCAAGGCAAGGTCACCTTCCTCACGCCGCGTCACTTCCTCGACTTTGTTGCCCAATATGTCAAGCTGTACAATGAAAAGCGCGAGGATCTGGAGGAGCAGCAGCGCCACCTCAATGTCGGTCTCGAGAAGCTGCGGGATACCGTCGACAAGGTCCGTGATCTGCGGGTCAGCCTGGCGGAGAAGAAGGCCCAATTGGAGCAGAAGGACGCCGAAGCGAACGAGAAGCTGCAGCGCATGGTTGCTGATCAGCGAGAGGCCGAGCAGCGCAAGAATACATCATTGGAAATCCAGGTGGCTCTCGAGCAGCAGGACAAGGAAGTCGCTTCACGAAAGGAGATTGTCATGCAGGATCTTGCCCGCGCCGAGCCGGCTGTGGAGGAGGCCAAGGCATCGGTCAGCAGCATCAAACGTCAACATCTCACCGAGGTCCGATCCATGAACTCCCCTCCGACCGGTGTCAGACTTGCTCTTGATTCTGTGTGCACACTACTCGGCCACAGAGTCAGTGACTGGAAGAGCATCCAGGCCATTGTCCGCCGAGACGACTTCATTGCCAGCATTATCAACTTCAACAACGAGAAGCAGATGACCAGGAGTTTGCGCGTCAAGATGCGCAACGAGTTCCTGTCCAACCCCGAGTTCACCTACGACAAGGTCAATCGTGCCAGCAAGGCCTGTGGTCCGTTGGTGCAGTGGGTCGAGGCCCAGGTCAGTTATGCTGAAATCCTGGACCGGGTTGGCCCCTTGAGAGAGGAAGTCGCCCAACTGGAGGAGCAGGCTCTTGAGACCAGGGCCAGCGCCAAGGCCATAGAGAATACCATCACCGCACTCGAGGCCAGTATTGCTACGTACAAGAAGGAGTATGCCGACCTCATCAGCGAAACGCAAGCCATTAAGCAGGAAATGTCCAGGGTCCAGTTCAAGGTGGACAGAAGTGTCAAGCTGCTCGAGAGCCTGTCCTCGGAGAGAACTCGTTGGGAGGAGGGCAGTAAGTCCTTCGAGGTGCAGATCAGCACCCTGGTTGGTGATGTCCTCGTCGCGGCGGCCTTCCTTGCCTACAGCGGTCTGTATGACCAGCAGTTCCGCAAGGCTATGATGGAGGATTGGCTGCATCAGCTTCACCTCTCGGGCGTCAGCTTCAAGCAGCACAACCCTATGACAGAGTACCTGTCCACGGCCGACGAGCGTTTGAGCTGGCAGGAGAACTCGCTCCCGGTTGATGATCTCTGCACCGAGAATGCTATCATTCTGAAGCGATTCAACCGATACCCGCTCATTATCGATCCTTCCGGACGAGTGACAGAATTTTTGCAAAAGGAGTCCAAGGACCGACGGCTTACTGTCACCAGCTTTTTGGATGATTCGTTCACCAAGCAGCTGGAGAGCTCCTTGCGTTTTGGCAACCCCATCCTCATCCAGGATGCTGAGCATTTGGATCCAATACTCAACCATGTTCTCAACAAGGAATACCAGAAGACCGGCGGTCGGGTGCTCATCCAGCTCGGCAAGCAACAGATCGATTTCTCGCCTGCCTTCAAGATCTATCTGTCCACTAGGGACCCTTCAGCCACGTTTGCTCCTGATATCTGCAGTCGGACGACCTTTGTCAATTTTACCGTCACGCAGAGCAGTTTACAGACACAGTCGCTTAATGATGTACTCAAATCCGAACGCCCGGATATCGATGAGCGACGATCCAACTTGATCAAGCTTCAAGGCGAGTTCAAGGTTCATCTTCGCCAGCTCGAGAAACGCCTCCTGCAAGCACTCAACGAGTCCCGCGGCAATATCCTCGACGACGACAATGTCATCGAGACTCTTGAGACACTCAAGACCGAAGCCGCCGAGATCTCGAACAAGATGAACAATACCGAAGGTGTCATGGCCGAGGTCGAGGAGAGCACACTGCAGTACAACGTCATAGCCAGGTCTTGCAGTGCCGTCTTTGCCGTTCTTGAGCAGCTCCATTACCTTAACCACTTCTACCAGTTCTCGCTGCAGTACTTCCTCGACATCTTCCACTCTGTACTGCAGAACAACCCCAACCTGGCCAACGAGACCAACCACAACGTCCGTCGTGATACCATCGTTAAAGACCTCTTCGTTACCACCTTCAAGCGGACGGCTTTGGGTCTGCTGCAGAAAGATCGCATCACGCTGGCTATCCTTCTCGCTCAGGCATCGCCTTACAAGATGAACAAAGATCTCCTGGATGTTGTACTCGATGACAAGATCGCTGGCAAAGACCTGTCTTCTGATCCTGGCGCAAGAGCCGAGGTGATTGCACGTGCCAAGAGAGCACCGATCCTCAAGGAGCGACTGGATCGTGTCCCTGCGGAAGAATGGGATAAATTCTTCGCCGAAGAAGTCGCAGAGAATCATGTACCGCAGGTGTGGGATGAGAACACCGAGCCCAATGATCAGGCCTTGTTCTCCTTGCTCCTCGTCAAGTTGTTTCGTTTGGACCGCTTCGTTCCTACAGCAGAGCGCTTTGTTGCTCTCGTCTTTGGTCCGGGTCTGTTTGACATCGTTGAGGACCTCAAGGGAACCGTCACCCAAATCCCCGCCACTACACCAGTTGCCCTGGTTTCAAGTCCTGGCTTTGACGCCTCTTACAAGGTTGACGGCTTAGTGGAACGCATGCGTGTACGCTGCACCAATATCGCCATGGGATCCAACGAGGGTCTTGCCTCGGCCGACAAAGCCATCAGCAACGCGGCGCAGACCGGATCCTGGGTCCTGGTCAAGAACGTTCACCTCGCACCTACCTGGTTGCAGAGCTTAGAGAAACGTATGGAGTCCCTCAACCCGCACTCCGACTTTAGACTCTTCCTTTCCATGGAGTCTAGTCCCAAGATACCCGTCAATCTCCTCCGTGCTTCGAGGGTGTTGATGTACGAGCAACCGGCCGGTGTCCGCGCCAACATGAAGGACTCCATGAGCTCCGTGTCGGCACGCTCATCCAAGAGCCCTGTCGAACGCGCAAGGCTTTACCTCCTACTGTCCTTCCTGCATGCCGTTGTTCAGGAGCGATTGCGTTATGCCCCTAACCTGGGATGGAAGGGATTCTGGGAGTTTAATGATGCTGATGTGAGTCAAATCTCTTCGTATCACTCATTCCTTTCTGGGCATAGGTTGCTAACCAAGTGAAACAGTACGAGTGCTCTGCTCACGTAATCGACGTCTGGCTCGAAACCGCCGCCGCCAATCGCTCCAACATTGCTCCTGCCAACATCCCCTGGGATATGATCCGTTACCTCATTGTGGAGACTTACGGCGGCAAGATTGACGATGAGCAAGACTTCTCCCTTCTCCGCTCTTTGGTTCATTGCGTGCTCACGCCCTCCGCGTACGAGATCAACCACAAGCTCGTCGACGGGGAAGACCTGGTGGTACCAAGCGGGACGAGTGTGAGCGACTTCATGGCCTGGGTAAATTCCTTGCCCGAACGGGAGCCCCCTACTTATCTGGGCTTGCCGGCAAATGCGGAGAAGCTGCTGCTCGTAGGATTGGGACGGAAGCTGATCGGGGACGCGAAGAGGGTGGTGGATTTGTTGGATGAAGGAGAAGTTGTTGGTGCTGAGGCTGCGTAGTCCATCGTTGTTATACTTGAGGATGCACAAGCGAGAATAGAGCATAGACAATAGTTGGTTTTCTTTGTCTGGGTTGCAGCATAGCATCTGGTGGCATAGTTCTGGCGTACAAGGACCGATTACCTGATACCCATGGGAGATCGCCTCGTCTGGTTTCGTTCATGTTTTACTTACTCAATCAAGCTGTTATATCACTATACAACCACACTAGAAAGTGTATGATACACAATTTACATACATTCGAGTCTCTAAGTGTTTCGAACAATTCTCGAGCTTTTGAGCTTTCCGGTGGCCCCCGTACAGGAAACGTTCGTGTACAGCCAAACCTAGCAAATGCACAGCCACTGTCGAACCCCAATGACACGTCCTAGTACCGCGCAGGTAAGGTATGTTTATCAAGGGTAAAACATCAAAATATATCTACGTAGGGCCGAACAGTGTGCGCTGGATATCAACTAATTGACCGTTCGCAAAGTGTAAAAAGGCCAAAATTATCGCGACGAAGATGGGACTCGAACCCACAACCTCAGTCTTAGCACTCTATAGGAGGACCACACGCTACCATTGCGCCACTTCGCCACATGTTAGCTGTTGCGATTGGCCAAAGTTTCCAACTATATTTCACAGTCTCTGTTTCAGGTAGCTGCTAATGTCTGCATTTGATTCCGGATTGCGCGTAGGTTTGTGTGACGCGATGCTTTATGATTCATATACTTGGCTTGTTTTATCTACCTCTGAAGTTATTTAAACAATCCGTGTTTTACCCTTCAAGTATAGTTAGTGGTGCAGGCCTTGGCTTGTTGTTAAGCTAACGAGGCTTCTTGTGCGGTTTCATGTTGGAGCAGCAAGACATCGCACACAGACAGGGCATAGCGGTACCCGAAGAGGAAACTATACCCGATTGTGCGGATCATACGAAGGATCACTGCACAGAAGCGACATGCACCGCCACAACTTGATAGTCACTAAGCATGCCACATTGGGTGGACTGGCGTGTCTATTGTACGAGTGTAACGAGGTTGAAGGTCGATCCTTCATGCCGTCTGCGCACCCTCCTTTGCTCGTTCACCCAGACCTGCCAGAGTAATCGTTGCGGCGTTGATGCTGATCACCCCATATCATATCACATTCGATATATTGGGCTTCCTGGAGCTTTCGCGGATGGGCTTCAGACACCCCCCAGATGCGACCTCGTAAGATTCAGAGAGATGGAACGTGTGACCAATAGCGAGTTGAGACGCGTGCCAAATTGGGGGTTGCAAGCTCCCTCTCGAGAGGTGTGGTGTGCCAGGTGACCGCGTTAGCTGCGCGAACGACAAATCCCCCGCATTATTTTTTTGGGAAAATAGGCAAGCTGCCCTCTCACAACTGCAAAGAAGCCTGCCGCCATTGCCTTGACGTACAGTCTCTTCTTGGTCCAGGAGTCACCTAGGCCTCAGCATGTCTAGCACTGCACATTCTGTAGTAGTTGGTAGATATAATGATTCTTGACGGATACCGAGGTGTAGACCGGTTTACATGGTAAGATAGAGGTACCCTTGTAGTCTAGACCCTCCAGTGGAGTTCGCTAACGGAAATCCCGTTGGCGCAGGGAGAATGCACCGTGACGCAACGCCCTGTATTCTAACAAATCAGATATCACGGGTCAAAGACCCTGTAACCCCACGCCGAAGCTGTCATCCTCCTTGATGATGAGTTCCATCTTTGACGATTACTGGAACTTTCGAACGTCTTGAAACTTCAAATGATGGGGAGACTAGCCATGGAAAGATATGGCCACTATCAGCAATATGTGGGGAAGGATGATAGAGGTACCGTCAAGGATCCAGGAGCTTAATGACGCTAGAGCCAATACTGTTTCATCTCGTATCACAGCTCAGAAACAGGTTAATGAATGGTATTGTGCGTGTACATGTACGCAAGTAGCTTCAGTGTATGCCCAGGCGTGCCTCGATCGAGATTGCTAGCTCGAGCATGTCAGATTATGGCCCAATAGCTGGCGCTGTTTCCCAGCCATGATATCCTGCCAGGGCTTGCACAGGGGATGGCGGCGCCCCGCACACAACCGCCCTCCCCGCCTTCGTACCTTGTTGGCCTACAGTGCCTAACTTGGTGCCTACGCAATATGACCTGATTGTTCTACAAAACCATCCTACAGCCGTCTCTTCCCCAACTTTCCACTCTACATCCACAGGCTGTCTTACAATTCGAAGGCTGCTAATTGAACACATTGATCCCGCCGCAAACATATTCCCATAATCATCATGGATCGCCTCCGGAACGGTTGGTGCTCCCATTTACTTCTTGGTAGAAGCGCAGGTTGTGCTGATTATCTATAGCGAACCCCTTCTCGAAGCGGGAAACCCACAGCCGGGAGAGCATCATAACCTACAAGGTGTTGACCATCCTGACTTGGCTGCTGTCCGTCGCCGTTACAGTGTACTACGTCTTCTTCCAACCCGAAACCATTGTGGTTGATCCCAAGCATCATCATGAACCCCAACCCATCTGGTACCAGAACAGAACTTGGCAGACCGGCTTCACCCTGAACAAGATCATTACCTCCCTGTACTGGTAAGAACAACCTTGGCCCTCTATATGACGCTCTCCGTCGGTAGTACGCATTGCTGATTTCGAAATCGTATAGGCTCGGTCTCTTCCTCTTTCAGATTGCGTACATTGGTCACCTCTTCTCCAGCAATGCCGACCATGTCAACGCCGCGTGCGCTGTTGGCAGCCACTTCATCGTCAACAACCTGCTTCACGTCGGCTGGGTCCTGCTGTTCAGCCGCGGTCACTTCGTGTGGTCCGAGGTGTTGCTCATTCTGAACTTCTTCAACCTGTCGTCCTTGTACTTCCGACACAACACGTATCCTCGGGCCATCCATACACCGGTCGTGTCGGGACCCCTGGCTTGGACATTTGTCGCCATCTACTGGAACGGCGCGATCATAGTCCACAGCCCGGACAGCTTGGTGGCCCGCATCTTTGCCAATGTCTTTGTCTGGTCATTCCTGGCGTACGGTGCTTTCTTCATCATCATCTACAAGGTACGTCGCTCTCATTCATTTTCGAGTATGAGCTCCTTACTAACAGATCGCAGGACTATACCATGGGCTTCAACCTGAGCGTCTTATCAGCAGCTCTTGGTGTCGGCCAGTTCCTGCACCACGCAATCGCTTTCCAGTGGATCTTCGCCTTTACCATCATGGCTGTCCTGTTTATCTTGACCCTGATCATTGCGGTTCCAGCATGGACAGGCAGAGACATACCCTTTGCTCGTTCCGCCGATGCCGAACGGGCTCCTCTGCTCGCCGATGATTGAACCGGCCAACCGAACATGGCTCGCCACTGCCGCCACACGTCCAACTACCGGGCCGCCGAAGGCGATGTCGAAAAACCTTGCTTTATCTTTCTTTTTTCCTCGTGTTGACTGTTTCTGCTGCGTACATCAATTGCATTTCACAGGTGTTAGCTAGGGTCCAAATGTGTCTTTTCCTTTCCAATGCAAAATGTTTCTGGGACGGTTCGTAATGTAGGGGCATGGGGGATTATCAACTTAATTCAGATTGTGCATCCTCACACACATATGGGTAGTTCGTCCTCGTTGGTGTCCCTGTAACGTGACGTCACATTGTTTACTCACTAAATAGTACTTGATAGTAGTATCGATACCAGCTTATCATCAGATAGCACGGGCCTTCCTCCTCAGACCCCTTCCAACACCCGTCTACACTGATCACGAAGTATGGCACAGGGAACAGTATCAGTCAGTCAGATACGCTAATGAGACAAGCATGTCTCGCCGACTTCCCTTCCCATTCCCCATGGGGATAGGAACCGACATATGTCATATGCCACGTATCAAAGCTCTCCTGACCGGTCCTCGTTCCGTCAAATTCATAAAACGGATCCTGCACCCTAAAGAGTACCGGGCTTCCCCTGTAGCACACATTGTCGACCCCACCGTCAAGCCTGGTGCCTATCTGCCTGCGTACTCTTCCGAGCCCGCAGACGCAGATCCGCAAGTAGTCTTACAAAGAGCTGTCAATTTCATGGCTGGTCGGTACGTTTCACCTCCCTTACACCGTCACCAGTCCATGTTGTTGTTTTTAACCAAGGGGGGTTCGATATAGCTTCGCGGCCAAGGAAGCAGTCATTAAAGCACACAGCTTCGCCAACATGAATGATTACGGAGCCGGTGGATACCGCAAGGCTACCTTTCAAAGCATCCAAATTGTGCCACAGCGGAACAAGAGTCTGATTGCCGTTGTTTGGCCACTGGAGGATGGAACCGACCACAGCCTAAGGCCGCCCCAGGAGGCATTGGTCAGTATCAGTCATGAGGGTGAGTATGCCACCGCTATGTGTCTGGCCTATAGACACCCGGATGAGCAGGGGGACCAGACAAGGACGGAGAAGGCACGAATGACAGGCAATGGTGATGTGAAGAGGAATCAGGAAAGGACAAAGAAGGCAAACGTGACAGACGACGGTGGTAGACTTATCAGGAAGGTCAAGCGGGGGCGGTCATTCCTGTTGCGCCATCCTTTTGCTAAATGGGAGTATAGGAAGCTAGTGAGTAAAGCACAAAGGGAACGGGAAAAGGCGGGAGAAAAGGAAGGGGAAAAGGAGGCCAGTGAGTAGACTATCATGAGGTCTTGCTGTTACGCACCTCGGCAACTTGTCGGGTAACAGAGTCCAGAGGAAGATAATGCGGGCTGGGCTCATACGGTGCACAAGTGTGTCAAGGTGTTGAAACCACATACGACGGGCTGCATTACTACTACTTGGCACAAACTCGTGAAGAAACACAAGTGACTATAGTAACACACTAGTGTTGACACACCTGGTACTCCGCGATCATAGTTACCATGAGAGGGAGTAAAAGCTCGCCGTCAAGCCTCGATGGTTGACGGCTAGAAACTCCCCAACTGAAGGGGGATTTGCTTCGATGGAAGGGGGAAGGGAGGGGGATCATACCCGGATCTGGTGAGTCAAGAATTGCCGGGTGGAAGTGCGATTCAAACGGGGCACCTGGCGAGTCAATGTTTGTGCCGCCCACGGTGGTCGACCATTTTACCATTGAGATACGGCTGACTCCCCAAGTGCCCCGTCGTTGGAAGGATAACCCGGGACTTGCTGCTATATCGATCACCTGCTTGCACATTGAAGGGGGCCCTCACGCCTAAGAGTTCAAACCAGACCTCACTCGGGTTCACATGTGGTGTTGTTCATCAAAGTAGAGTCTCGCTAGACACCATCACTGGTTGTCCCTTGCTGATCTATGTTCGTGGGATGAATACCTGCCCGGTTTGCCGTGACGTACAACTCCATGGACTCGGCAAAGAACTTAAGAAGTCATGGTTCTGTGCGCCCCGAGCCGGGAGGCTTGCATGAATGTGGTTCGATTATGCTGCAGGATGTTTTTTGTCCATGGATGACAGGCTTATGGCATAATCCAACCACTACCACACTATCAGGTACGTATAGCGACGAAGTAGATGAACCATCGGGCTGTGGATGGAACAACCGTACTGCTTGTTACCGTTGCTGTCGGCTACAGTGCCGGAAGCCAA